ATCTGGACTATTTAAGGAGAGGCATGGGCAACGTAGGCAGTGGATGATGATTAAGGATAAGGGGTATATGAGAAGCAAGGTTCTGAATGGCTTTATTAATAGCCTCATATGGCTTTATTAATAGGCTCATATTTTAGATAATGGTTAGGCTTATGTTTGTTCTTTAAGTTTAGAAATTAAATTACACATTCATTATGACAGTAAGGAAATACCACTTTACATGAGGTATTGAAAATAGATTAGATGCTCAACATAAATCTGCTGATTAATAATTAACTTATTAAGCAAATTGTTGATCATCTCATCTGTGCTTTGTTTGGATGTAATGTGTTAAGCAAAAGATATGATACCTGTAATGATTCATATAAAAATGAACAATTAAAAACTCATTAACTGATAGAAGTGGTAGATATACCCTCAAAGGCCAATGATAAAAAATATTTTTTAAAACTCTGTATAACTCTTTGAAATTAAAAGTATCTCACACAAAGATAAATGACACAGTGGTCTATCAATATAATGATAATTTTTCCTTATAGAATTTAATTTTTTAGTGTATAATAATGTACTAATATATGTTGATATAGGACTTTAGAGATACCTGATGATGTTCAACACCTCACCTTATTTAATTCTTATAATCACACTGGGAGATGGATGGGAGAGTTATTACCATGCCTGACTTCCAATGAAGCACTGAGATTTTGAGGGACCTGGCAAACCAGAATATGAATCTAGATGGTTAGTATAATATGATAATTAAGAAGATGGCCATTAGCAGATGGGCACAGTGATAGTGAAAACATTTGGACAGAGATCCACAAAATTAACTTGTGGTCGCGCAATATTTTGAGCTTGTTGTTAGTCAATCTGCATAATTCATCCTTTCGTTTAGTGTAGTATTTTTTAAGGTTAGCAGGGGAAGTGTTGTACTGTATTATAGTCTCAGATCCAATAGATTTTTTTTTTGCATGGATGAATGAAGACACGTTTGAAAAGAAGGGATGCAGTGCCTTAATAAAAATACTCCTTGACAAAATTATAATATTCATGTTAAAGTGGATGACCAAAAGTTCTTTCTATATATGTAATATACCCAAAAAAGAGAACATCTTGTTCATTCATTATTCTGGTAATCATTGACCATTGCCAAGTTGAGATGTATTCTAAAATAGAATAATGATGTTATCTCAATTAGTTAAACAAATTCCACAATGTTTTCTCAATTAAAATTTTCCTCTCTGTAAAGCTTTAGTGAGGTCTTATTGTTAATCGATGTATTACAGTGCCCAGAAGAATACACTCAGGCACTCAAGAAATATTTATTAAAATGAAATTGCTTGTGTGAGGGCTAGCAGTAGACCAAATGAAGAAGTAGCAAACAAGTATTACCAAGTAGCAAACAAGTATTACAAAAAAGTTAGAAATGGTTTTTTTCCCTCTCATTGACTTTTGTTGGAGGGCTTTAAAAACTTTTTAATAGTATGTGGATATAATAGTTAAATGTTCTGCTAATAAAATTATTCTAATTAGTAAGATAGAGTTAGATAAATTACTATTGTACCATTTTCCCCGAAACCCATGGCATCTAGGTATTTTGTGGCTTGAACATGTCAGTAAACTTTGTTGGAAGGAAGAAGGGGATGAAAGGGGAAGGAAGCCGGTGGTTTGGCAAGATGTCTTACATACGTCACCTCATACAACCTTATGAAATCTCGTGCAATTTTAGAGACAAGAAGTGGAATGCTGAGGGACCTGACAACCTACTCCCCAAACCCCATTATCCCACAACCTGAAAGTTAGGAGGCAGTGTTTGTACCCAGCTTTATGCTGCTGCTGCTGCTACCACTCCCCAGATCTGCTTGTTTGGGGCCCAGATTTTCACCAGTCAATCTGGTTCAAGAATCTCTCTAATAACAACGAGGGGCATTTAAACTGACTTTTACAAAGCAAACTATATTTTAGTTGAGGTTGAATCAACCCACACTTTTCAAATAAACCACAATATATTCAAACAGATATGCAAATATACAGTATAAGTCACTGAATCAGACCAGTCTTCTGTCTTCACTACTGAATTAAATCTGTCCTTGTTAAGGTGACCAGTGTTGCTAGATCCAGTGGCAATTTTCAGCTGTTTTCTTTCTTAATCTCTCAAGCATTTGATGTAATATTTTCCTTCCTTCTTGAGACATGTTTGTTCACTTGTGGCTTCCAGGACACCACACTTTGCCGTTTTTATCTCCCATTTCACTGGCCACTCTCCTTTAACTTCCTTTACTGATTTCTCCTCAGTCTCCTGAGGAGCGCCTCAGGATTCGAGTCTTAGACCTCTTCTCTTTTCTGTCTACATTCATTTCACACCATTTAGTCTCCTAACTTTAAATACCTACTGTATGTATGCTGATCACTCCCAATTTTCTATCTCCAGGAAAGATCAGTTTCCAAACTATTTTCTCATACGTACAGTTGCCTACCTGACATTGTCACTTAACTGTCTAATAGGCATCTCACACTTAACATATTTAAAATTGAGCTCCAAATTATTCCGCTCAAATCTGCTCCTCTTGTAGTTCTTCCATATCCCACTAAAATGGCAGGTCCATCTTTTAAAGTTATTCAAGCCAAAAGCCTTGGCATGATTCTTGATTTCTCTCGTTTTCTCTTACCCTATTTCCACTGCATCAGCAAATCTGCTTGCTTCTGACCACCCTCACTGCTGTCACCGAAGTCCAAACCACCAAAATCTCTACTTTGTGTTACAGGAAACTCCTAACCAGTCTGTTTCTTTCCGCCCATGAGATCTTACAGCCTATTTACACAGCAATAGAGTGATTGTTCCAAAATATGGCATCTTGCCACTCCTTTACTCACCATTCATTGACTTGATTCCCATCTTAGAATAAAACTCATAGTCTTTTCCATGCCCTACAAGGCTCTATAGAATTTTTTCCTCAACCTCCCCAACAGTTATTTCTCTGTTCTGCCCTCCTACTTCTCTCTCCCTTGCTTACTCATTGCCAGACACAATGTTCTCTTTGCTCTTTCTTCAAACCCCAGGAATGTTTGAAGGTCTGCATCAGTGGTTTCCACTGATATCTGTATGTCTCACTACCTCATCTCCTTTAGGAATTTACTTACATGTCTCCTTTGAGTTCTTCCCTGACCACCCTACTTAAATTGCAGTTTCCCTTCAAAAGTATTTCCTGATCTTTTAATGCCAATGTTTTTTTTTTCTTTCTATAGCCCATATCACCACCTGACTTACTGTTCATTTTAATTATTTATTCTTATTTATCTTCCATTTCCCCACTATAATGTAAGCTCTGTGGGAATGCTTGGAATATAGTAAGCACTTAATAAATACTTGTGCAATAAATGAGCACCAACAGTTAAATCTATATCTAATAAATTATAGATCTAACTAATGTGTCTCCAGTGTCGATTTCAAACCCTCCTTTCTAGAGTGACTGAGAAAAATGCCACAGATCATCCTGAATCATCCTGGATTTGTTAGAGTGCTGGCCTCTGCCCTCTGTGTGTCTTGCTCTGGAGTTGAGTGGACCGGTCTCTGTGGTGGTCATGCAGAGAATTCTCAACTCTCTGTTGGCAAATGCTTAGACTTTACACTTTAAGTACTGTGTCTTTGTCAATTATATTTTCATAGCTTTAGTTGTTCCTTTTACACATCAGAAATCATGGAAGTAAAATTCTCTTCTTTTGCTGCATAAGGTGCCTACCTTAATTACTAATGACCACGAAGATTCCTGTATTTTTTTTTCTGGTTTAATTGTTTTATGCCTATGTAAGACCTTTATAATATACGTTTACGTATTTATTCCATTTATTCTTTTGATATAATCCATATTATTTACTTCGGATTCATCTGGGATGGCCTACTTAATACCAGTATAGTTATCTTATGTACCAGTTATATATAGTAAGGTTCTCTCCCAAAGAACTCCAACCATTATGCATTGTTTCAGCAAGCAGGAAATTCTGTACCTGGTGGTTCTTGCTGATCCAGCTAAAAGAGGCTGAATGACGCATTTTACTTTCAGGGGCTATTGCTGGGTTTTGATATTCCCTGTACTATAAATAGCACTTCAGGGAACACTCAGGTACAGTGAACATTTTCTTTGCAGTCCAGCTCAATGTTTGCAGAAAGAAAGTCACATGCTGTCTGGTTCAGCACAAGTCACTTGCCCCTCAGTGCCTCCTAACTTCTAGACAGACCCACCCAGAATTCTTAGTTGCTCATAAACACAGCATTTGCTCTCAGCATACTTTCATGCTTTTATTTATACTGCTTTCTCTGCCTGACAGAATCCTGCTCATCGTTTAAGATTTATCTTGAGTGAGAAAGCTTGCCTTGAGTCAGCTTGGCAGAAATACCTTCTTGCTCTTCTATAGGATTCTCCACAGCATTTGGAACATACCTGTTCTACAGTAATTTCAGCATTATATTAGGGTCTGTTACATAAGTATATATGTTTGTACTCTCCTCATGTCCCAAACTGTGAATCCTGAGGCCTGTGACTTCTGTATCCTTGTATCTATCCTCAAGAGTTAGTGTAGAAAACACTCAGCAGCATTTGCTGAGTGAATGGCTGGTTGTATGAATGAATGAAATTGCATTCAACTAGGGGAATAGGATTCATCTGAGTTTGTTCTCAGCTTAATGCTTTAAAAATAATCCTATATGTAGCTTGGATTTTTCTACTTTCCCAAGCAGACATCTTGTACTAAATGTATGGCCAATTTGATAATGAAAAAAAAAGTTATATTTATATATACTTCAGGGAGTTAATTTTTTTTTTAATTTCAAAAGAACAGGCTAGTTTTTTCCTTACAAACTTCTTGCATCTTTCTTTCTACATACTGTCTTCACTCAGCCCAGTCTTCAGTCAAATTCCTCCAAAGGGTCTGCTGTAAACAATGGTTTCGTGAGCAGTTGTGCATTCTCTGCAGTGAAAACCCGCCTTGTTTTCTGTTGCTAGGCAACCCCATTCCAGCTGCCCTTGAAGAAATGTGCGGTGGTGGGAAATGGTGGGATTCTGAAGAAGAGTGGCTGTGGCCGTCAAATAGATGAAGCAAATTTTGTCATGCGGTAAGAGCACCCACAGCTCGGCCTCTGCTTTTTCTCCTTTTCCCCACCCCTCCAACAGCCCCAGGGCCTTTTGAAACTAGTCACTTGTGATTAATCAGTTGTAGCTGCTCTTTAGCTTCCCTTCAAGTTCACATACAAGTAAGTTCAGGAGAGGGACAGGGGAGCAAGGGAACGTGCCTCAAGAAAGTACAAAGCCAAGAAAGACTCAGAGGTTGTGGGCAGATCTCAGAAGTGGAAACATGCAGATTTTATTTTAGATTACACATTCGGGTGATTAAAACTTTGAAAATTGTTCCAAAGACTAACTCTCTATGCATAAACATATTAATCTATTCATTTCATTCTATGCCCATTCTTCATTTTTCACAAAAGCGTTTGCAAGTAGTGGGTGGGATTTGAAGAGGGATTTGATCTGTGCTTGACTAAGAAAACTGAAGGAAAGAAGGAGAATAAATTCCAAGCAAGGAAGAAGCTTGGAAAAAGGACTGAGTAGAGCGATGATGTGTACGTCACTTCTGGTGGAAAACATGAAGCTTCTGCCATGACATGTAAAGGAATTGCTGTGACACACATCCAGCCAAGGGTAGAGAACATCACACTGTTGTGGCACCAACCTGTACCGTTGGGTGATTTTGGCCAGAAGTGAGGATAGCAAGTGATTGGATTGACACAAAGTTGGAGTTGTCTGGATGAAAAGTAAGAAGGATGGGGGGGGGGTGACAAAATGTGGAAGGTTCTAGCTAAAGAGTGTGTGAAGTGACACATTTGGTGTCTGGGCTGGATAGGAAGTGGGCCCTGAGAAGTGTGAAGGAGAAAGGAAGGGAGCCACATGGGGCCAAGTGATAGGGTCAGAGCCTGGAGGGGACAGGTGGGAAGAATGAGAGAAAAGTGGAATGATAAGAACTAAAGTCAAAGAATGGCCCACTGGAGTATATGATTTTCGAGCTTAGCTTCTCTAGGGATGCTCAGACTGTTGTAGAAAAAGAGGACATTTGTTACTGAAGAAGTGAAGGGACGTCGAGGCTAGACTGTGGAGGGTCTTTCGGCTGAGCTCTAAAGCCTCCCCCAGGTGGGAATGGCTATGAACCAGGTACCTACAGGCTCCAGGGCCAGGAAGGCTGAGGCCCAAGCAACACAGAGGATGGAAAGCTGAGCAAAAGAGGGAGGGGTATTTGTATTTTGTGTTCATTTTTAAGGATAATAGGTAATGGTCTAAATGGCAAAAGGTAGCCAAGAGAACACTAAATCACCTCTGAGCTCTGAGCTAAATGGAGTAGGGGAGAGTCTAGACTCTATTTGAGAGTGTTTCAAGGGAAGCCATGTACATGAGGGAGGGCCCAGTACCCTCTTAGAGAACAGGAGATGGGCTTCTTGAAAGACTTGTCATCTCATTGGCGAAGCCTGCAGCAGAGTGGGGAGATCTTTCTACATTCATCTTTCCTGCAGGGAGATGCCCTGCCATAGTTTTTCCAGCATAGGACTGCAATTTCTCTCCATTGCAAATACTGTTATGTTTTTGGGAATACATTTGAACTACAGGAAAATGGAGAAGATAAAAAGAGTTCTCTTTATTCAAGTCAATGTAACTTCTGTTTATTGAGCATCTACACTGTATTAGCTGCTTCTGTAAATGGTATGTTGAACAATCCTGTCATGGCCTTAGAACCTGGAGATGTGCTAGTGCTATGATGGGGGCAACTGAGAGACAGAGAGAGAGGGGAGCTGGGACTTTCTGAGGAGAAGTGGTGTCTGGGCTGAGTCATTCCACTCCCAGTGCAGAAACAGCCTGTTAGACTTTAATGTAGGAAGGACACCAAATACTGCCAGTGTCATGACCCATGAGAATGGCTTGAGGTGGGGCTGGAGACGTATTAAGGCTGTAGGAGTGGATACAATCATCTAGAGAGCATAGATAGAAGAGAAGAGAGAAGACCCTGGGCGACATTCAGGTATTCATCTCATTACGTTGGCATTAAGGAGAGGCTGAGAAGCCAGCAAAGAAAATAGGGGTAGGAAGGCAGGCGCTTGCCACAAATTAGTTCTGTGATGTACAGCGAGTCATTTTATCTTTGCTGGTGCTCAGCTTTCCAAGCTATGTGAGGAAGTGGGAGCGGACAAGTCCTAAGCCTTTCCGCTGTAGAAATACTGATTCTATCTGTGATTGTATGAATACTGTATAAATGTAACACAGTTCATGTGGTTTAGAGTAAATTTCCAAATTACTCTCGATTATACATTTATTTGGTCTTTCAAAAACTATGTAAGGAAGAAGGAATGGATAATAATATACTCACAGATTCAGGGAAGTTAAGTGACTTCAGGAAGTCTCAATGCAATGTAGAAGGAGGCAGCATGATAAATGTGTTTTTATATTATTCCCGAGTACATATATGGATGTGCCACTGCCATTTAGGAAGATGAATATTTTAAATGTAACATGTGGAAGACTAGTTCTAAGTATCTTAGGGGGTTATCTAGTCGGGCCATGTTTATCGTAAATATATGAGACTAAGTTTGCATTATACGTAATTTGGTGTTGATATATTCAAGTTCAGAATTAATGAGTTCCTGTGATGAGAGTGCCCAGCACAGTATTCACACAATACTGTGAGGATTGAAAAGAATTCGAAGAAGATAGCATCATTACTAGACCTATGTGTGCATGTGCCTTTAATTTAATTTCAAGAATTGAAATTAAAAGAAGGCAGTGAGGATTGAAAAGAATTCGAAGAAGATAGCATCATTACTAGACCTATGTGTGCATGTGCCTTTAATTTAATTTCAAGAATTGAAATTAAAGGAAGGCAGTGAGGATTGAAAAGAATTCGAAGAAGATAGCATCATTACTAGACCTATGTGTGCATGTGCCTTTAATTTAATTTCAAGAATAGTGCTATTTCATAACACGTTTAAAATTTTAAAAAGCTTTGTTTATGGTTTACAGTGGTAAATTGTTTTAAAATTATTTTTATTTGCCCATTTATGGATCTACTTATAAATGGCTGCTTAATACACAATTTTTTGGGCACCCTTACAAAATTGAGATAGTAGCTTATTTTCAGCATTAAACATTTAGTGAGTAAATACGATTAGAAATTACATAATATGCCTGGTTCTAGATTATAGGGTGCATGGACAGTTACAGCAAAAGAGGATATCCCAAAATAGCTTTACCTGTACTCAGGTATATACCAGGTTATAGTTCAAAATGTCTTCTAGGACTAGGGTAGAACACTTCCATAATTTTCTTTGCTTATACGTTTTCAAATACATCTTTCAATGCTAAAAGTCGATTTCCCAGTTTTCAAAGTAAACATCTGTTTTATAACCAAAAACTTTAAAATAACATAGTTGAATAAAACGTATCTGAAGGTCTATAAGAGAAATGAGTGCTTGCATCTTGGAGAGGACATGGGTGGATCAGGGACACAAGTGAGGGCAACATAATTTTGGTGCCTCGAATTATGCTCATATCATGTTTTGCATACTTAAGTATATGTAAAATTTAAAAAGTAATTTTATGATTTTTTTCTATTTAAAGATTCCTCTCTATCGAGCCTATTGCCTACTTACCTCCATCCCCCCTCCTCCAATTCAAAGAATATTTAATTCTTTATCAGTTCTGTGATCATATCTTTTAGGATCATGAGCACAGTTACTAAGATACTTCAGCCATCAATCTCTGCTAATTGTGCCAATAAGTGATAATGCAAGTTTGAAACACTTCTACACAATTATGCCTTATTAAAAAACAATTTGACTGTATCAAATGTGCATTTTATGTAAATTTATGTAATTATCAATTTAGGAGCTGAGGAGCTAGATTATAGTGTGCCTTTTCTAAGAAAGGAGCTACAGGGAAGTGTCACAGACATTTGCACTTGAAGAGAAAGTTTATGCAGAAGAACTTAAAACAGATATTCATACCAAAATGAACTTTATTGTTTTCTAGGAATGCATTTATAAAATAGTATCTTCATTGTTTTAAGCATTTCCCTCTGCTGTAGAATTTGACAATATCCACAAGTTTTTCTTGAGCTTTTACTCTGTGGTAGGAGGTATGAAAGAACCCAGACATATGAACTTTGGTTCTACTTGCAAGGAACACATAGAAAAGCAAAGTATTTACTCATGAGAACCAGCTTCTTTCATTTAATAATGGCAAAGTAGGTTGACAGCACTCCCTGGCAATATTTAGAGTCCATAGTTTTAATATAAAGTGGTTAGTTCTCAGATGTTACAAGGACCATCAAGATCAAGGCTTTTTCAAGAGACAACTGTCCAAATTTTACCCTGTGTTTTACCCCAGAAATCATTTTTCTCTTTGCAAAGATCAGTTAAATCTCAAGACCACATCCAGCACCAGTGCCAGATGAGCCTGGTTGTTAATTCATAAGCTTACTCCCTCACAAGGGTCCTCAGAAACCACATGAGATGTGGTGCAACCGCTAGACGGGAGACACCTCAAGATCAGGCTTTGCAACTTGGCTTCACCTGGGCTTTCCACAATGCTCACTATGTTTGTTCTCAGTGGACACTCAGCAAAAGTCACTGACTAGCTGACTAATTAATCTGTGGGTAGCTGCCAAAAGAACCAGCTTCTCATTACCAAAGAACAGATGAAGGGAAAATTCCAAATTGACTGCGACAGGTTTCCACCCAGGACACCCCAATGTGGTAGGAGTCACAGGGTATATGTAAGACATTAGGGAACTAGAGATGGTAGGCTGAGTGGGTGCCCAGACAATTCCATGTCCTGGGGAAAATTTATATGGAAAATTTATTAGTTGGGGAACTGGCAGAGACATTAAGATTCATAGGATCTCTTTACCTACAGATAAACAATAATTTAGTTTGTTGAAGTAATAAAAAATTAGAAATGCCCTGATGTGGTAGGAGTCAAGTTAGATTTATGGGTGGAAAGGAGAAATGAGAACACAGTAGTAAAAGTAAACCTAATGGAAACTATAGACTCATTTGGGGATGTCATAAATAATGCATGTATATTTAATTATATTTATATGCTATTTCTGGTATGTGATATTTTTGAGCTTTTACTATGTGTGAGACACTGAGGTAGGGACTGTTTATACATTTCTTCTTTTAATATTTACGACAACCTTATTAAGAGAGAAAAAGTCTTTGTTTTGTGTAATGGGGAAACTGAGGGCAGGCAGATGAATTAACTTGTCTAATGTCCCACTGGCAGAAAGCCATAGGATTAGGATTTTCAGTTTCCTTTTTTCCATTGTAAACATTCATAAGACATTGTGGCCAAGGAAGGCAACGAGGGCAGGAATGGTGTGTGTGTGTATGTGTGTGTGTGTGTGTGTGTGTGTGTGTGTGTGTGTGAGAGAGAGAGAGAGAGGGGAGGAAGGGGGGGAGAGAGAGAGCAAGAGAGAGAGCGAGAAAGGGCGAGAAAGGGCGAGAGAGAGGAAGGGAGGGAAAGAAAGCAATTTCTATCACCAAGAAAATATCACCTATATTCTTTCTCCTTGCTAAACTAGGATGGTGGAGAATCATTGTGTTTCTTTACAGGCCATACCATATGACATCACCAGTAGTCAACCCATACATTGGTCATGCACACAAAAGTGGGACGTGCATTAATTTAGGTGGCAGAGTTGCATTGAATGTACAATTATGATTTAGAATTTGGGAAAAGAAAAACACAAATACAATTCCTCCCTGTCTCTTGAGGTTTATGAGTATTCAAAGAACACTGTATGTCTTGTGTCCTCTAGTGTACCACACCCTCCTGAGCTCTAATTTCAAGTCTAATACTCCCTGTCCTACCACCTCAAAAATATTTTGAATGGAATAAATTCATTCTAGCTATGTGTCTTCATAGATCATTTACTCCTCTAGCTGTCATTTTTTCATCTAAAACAAGACTAGTTTTTATGACAGCGTTTTGATGATGCTGATAGTAATCTAATGTTTATTAAAAGGGAAAAGCGATAAAAGTTATTCTTAAATTGAGCTAGACTAAAAAACTCCTATTTGTCATGAGAATTGACTTGATTTTAAAGTAGATAAATTTTTCTAAAATGTTTGTTATTTTTCTAGATGCAATCTTCCTCCCTTATCAAGTGAATACACTAAAGATGTTGGATCTAAAAGTCATCTAGTGACAGCTAACCCCAGCATAATTCGGCAAAGGTAAGAATTTATGACTTATGTTGGTGAGGAACTAAGGAGGAAGGCTTTTGAAGTATTTAGCATCTTAAAGGCAATGAGCGCAATTCATTTTGGGAAACCAAGAAAATCATCTTCACAGGCATGAAGGGTGAAGAAGGGAATCGTAAATAAATTAGGCGGAATTATGAGAATCCAAACACTATAGAATTCCTCTGGGATTCTATTTCTTGCCTTTGGAGATGGTAGAAATAATATGAGGATACACTGTTTTGCTCAAAGCAGCAACACAATATCCTGCTTACTCAGTTCCTACTTTCTGATTTGTTGGTGAACAGAATTAATATCAATTTTGTTAAGAAAAAAAAAAAAGAAATGACCAATCTACTGCATATGCATGCATAAAAATAGCAATATTGTCAGAATGTACAGGAGTGTATGATTATATGATAATTATAATTGCATTATATTCAATCATATTTGGGAAAGCAGACAGAAAATTCTCTAGTATGATTCCAGAAATCTTGGCAGCAGTTGTGGGAGCTTCTGGGGCAGTCTCTAGTTGATGAAGCCCATTAGTAGTAAACTATCAGCCTTTTCTCCAAGGACTTTTCATTGTGGAGAATGACTCAATCTCTGTAAAAAGACAAGTCCAACATTGCCTTTAGACTCCCCCGTGTAGCTAGCATTTAAGAGTGAAATATCTAGACATTCAGGGCTCTGGTATTTGTCATCTAAAGAAGTCTTATCCAAGTGAATAGCACTTGTGTGTCACTTTATAAACAAAGCTGCATTACTTGTTTTGGTTCCTAAATAAGTAGTCCCATAGACGTCTAGAAACACAACCAATTTTAAATTTTGACGTATTGTGAAATTACAGTTCCAAACTGTTCCATTTACTTTCTCTTCAGTAATAGATAACACTGCCTGTTTTCTAATACTGAAAACAGTACGTACTATTAATCTTTAAAATTTTTGTCAGTTTGTATAGTGAAAAATGGTACATTATTTACTTACTTAAAATGTATTTTTTTTCTGAATACAAGAAGGGCTGAATGAGTATTGGCTATTAGTATTTCTTCTGTGAATTGCCTGTTTGTATTTTTGTTCATTTTGTATTTTTTTCTTTTTAAAAAATATTTTTCTGTTGATTTATGGTAACTGTTTATATTATAGATATTATATCTTTGTTTGCTATATATGTAACAAATATTTCCTTTTAGTCTGTCACATATATTTTAACTTTTATTCTATCAGAATTTAACATTTTTATACAACAAAATCTGTTAGTCTTTTCCTTTATGGAATTTTTTTTTTTATAAAACAATCTTTCTTTGGATGATCTTTTTTATCTACAGTCCCTCCAAAGAGAAAACATTATACTGTATTTCTCTAGTACATTTATAGTTTCATTTTTCATATTTAAGAAATTTAGTCTATGTAAATATATTTATTTTTATAACAATTTTATTGTTTTTCAACAAAAATTTATGCTCACTGTAAGAATTTAAAACAAAAAAGAACAAAGAAGGGAAAAAAATCACGCAAACCTAATTATTTGAAAATAACCATAATTAACATAGATAAACTTTCTCCAGATGCTTCATGTATTCTTCTTTGAACTTTGAACTTTGAAGCTATTGTTTTGTTATCTTCTTACACCCACAGTTGTCAATTAGAAGGCTAATGGGGATCTATTTTATGTTCAGGGAAAACTTTCTTTCCTATTGCCACTAAAAGCTTTTAAAAGTTTCTTTTTATCATTTAATTAAGACAGTTTACCAACATATATCTTAGAGTGGGTCTTTTAAAATTAATGTTGCTTAGTACATTAATGAGAGGTTCTTTAGTTGGAAGACTTGAGGATTTAGTGGTTAAGAGTCTACTCGAAAGCAAGATGATTTTGGTTTTATTCACTGTTTGCGCCTTTACCAGCTATGTGAACTTGGCTAAGTTACTTAACACTTTTTCCTTCAGTTTTCTCACATGTAAAGCAGGGATAATAATACTTACATAATAGATTTATTATAGTGAATTGTATGACATATGTATGTATACGTGTATATATATATATGTGTGTGTTGTGTGCCGTTGAGTTGGCTCAAACTCCTGGTGACCTTATAATGACCGATGTCCACAATGTCCTGTCCTCAACAGCTCTGCTCAGAAACTGTAGACTCATGCCTATGGCTTCTTTTATGGAGTCAATACATTTCACACGTGGTCTTCCTTTTTTCCCGGTGCTTTCTACTTTTCCCAGCATTATTGTCTTTTCCAAAGAATTCTGTCTCCTCATGATGTACTTGAAGTAGGACAGATTAGACAGTCCCTCTCTTATGTGTCTGATCATTTTCTCTTCTTCATTGTATTTGCCCTTTCTTTCTCATCCTCCTATTTAGTGGATATTAGAACTTCTAGATCTATTACCCATGACTTCTAACTCTTTTCTTGTACAATAGAATCTCGTGTGTGTGTATATTGATGTATTGTGTCCCATGAATAATCCCTTTCAGCTCACTAAATCATATTTTAGTTATGTCTGTTCTGCTATGTAGCTTATCACTTCCATTTTTTAAAATCATGCTTTTGTTTTATATGTCTTATTATTTTATTTTCAAAGCAGCACTTTCTTTTTAATGGAATGTGATGTCCTCTTAAATTTCATCACAACTGTTATTGGACCTAAAAGTTTTGTATTTTTGTTTATTTCTGTATTCCAGATTATTTCCTTTAGTTTTGAATTTAATGCTGCATAGATGATTTGACTTTCTCTAAAATTTGAATTTTAGTTTTCTGTTCATTTTTGTATGATGTCTATTTTGTTGTTAGTGAATATATGTATAACACTTTCATATTGAACAATTAGTTTTTAAAATGTCACTGGAAACTAAGAATGCTAGTCAAATTTGTGAGTCAGTAAATAAAAGACCAAAAATTTGCTTGATACTCAATTTTCAGTGTGATTTGTTAGTTGATATAGCTAACGTAGAATGAGAAAACAAAACATCAATCTCCTATAGTTTAGTTATTGACTCTCACTCAATTCTTGTTTTTAAATTTTTTAAAATTATTTTTTAAAAACAATTTTTATTTTTTAATTACAGTTGACATACAATATATTAGTTTCAGGTGTACAACAAACGATTAGGCATTTATATAACTTACCAAGTGATTACCCTGATAAGTCTAGTACCTGTTTGATATACATAGTTACTGTAATATTATTGACTAAATTCTCTGTGCTGTATTTCACATCTCCATGACTGTTTTTATACCTGGCAATTTTCACATCTTAATCTCTTCCCCTTTTTCACCCATCCACCTACCCCTCCCATCTGCTAACCATCGATTTGTTCTATGAGTTTGTTTGTTTTGTTTGCTTGTTTATTTTGTTTTTTAGATTCCACATATAAGTGAATTCATATGGTATTTGTCTTTCTCTGTCTGACTTGATTCACTTAGCATAGTACCCTCTAGGTCCATCCATGTTGTTGCAGATGACAAGATTTTGTTCTTTTTTTATGGCTGACTAATATTCCATTGTCTGTATGTACCACTTCTTCTTTGGCCATTCATCTATCAGTACACATAGGTTGCTTCCATATGTTGGCTATTGTGATTATGCTGAGATGAACATAGGGATGCATATGTCTTTTCAAATTAGTGTTTTGGTTTTCTTTGGATAAATACCCGGAAGTGTAATTGCTGGGTCCTTCTTTGTCTCTTGTTATGGCCCTTGTTTTAAAGTCTATTTTGTCTGATGGAAGTATTACTACTCCAGCTTTTTTTTGTGTGTCTATTTTCACAAAATATCTTTTCCATCCATTTCCTTTCAGTCTGTGTATCTCTCTATCTGAAGTGGTTCTCTCATAGGCAGCATATGTATGGGTCTTATTTTCTTATCCATTCAACCACTCTTGTCTTTTGATTGAAGTATTTAATACATTAACATTTAAAATGATTATTAGTAGGTATATAGTTATTGCTTTGTTATTCATATTTTTGATCTTTTCTTCTTCTTTCTCTCTTCCTCTTCTCCCTCCTCTTCTCCCTCCTCTTCTTCCTCCCCTCAC